AAGTAACATAATATACCATTTTAACTATATTCAGATATTTAGAAGGTCATGAGTGTGAAACAAATATCAGAAAAAGTATCAGATTAGAAAATAGAACCTATCTTCTAATTCTAGACTTTCTATTAATCCACGTTTTAAATGAAAGTGTTAAGGAACAAGTATTTCACTCTGAGAATTAAGGTGTGCCAAACTTCTAGCAGAGCATTTTAAATGACCTCATATGTATGGAGAAGCTAGACAACGAATATTGTTAATGGCAGTGAAGAGTACAGAATGTACCATGGACTGTCCAAAAAACAAATAGATCTGGTTTGGAAGAACTGCAGCTTCTAAATAAGTGAAGATGGTAAGACTTTGTCTCACATACTTTGGTTTTATTATTAGGAGGTGCCAACCACTGGGAAGATTATGGTTGGGGAAAACAAAGGTTGAATGATAAAGAGAATTATTAGCACAGTGCTTATAACAAAGGCTCAAATACAGTAATATCTGCGAGGATAGTTTAAAACGAGGCAATATTTTGTTATATACTGGATTCCTGTAAATTAGTCAACTTGCACAACAAAAATAACAATGTTAGATAGGAATCGTGGTGACACAGGCTAACTGAAAGGTTATGAGTTCAGATCCATTACTGGCTCCACAAAAGAAAGACCTGGTGATCTGCTCCCAAGATTTACATGTAGGATATTCTATGGGAAATTCTACTCTACCACATAGAGTCATTACAAACTCACAGTAACAACTATAAAATGCTTATAAAGTTAACTCCTTAGTTTGAAAATGGACTCTTAGGAGAACAAACAGATATGTCCTGGAGAGGGTGAAACTGGGCTGCTCCTTGAAGGCAAGGATTCTGAAACTTTGTCTGACATACTTTGGGCATGTTACAAGGAGGGACCAGTCCTTGGAGAGACGTCAAGTTTGGAAGGGTGGAGGGACAGTGCAAGAGAGGAAGACCCTCGATGAGATAAACTGATTCAGTGATTGGAGTAATGGGAGTAGGTATGTCAGAGACAGTGAGGTTGGCACAGGATAGAGCAGGGTTTAGGGCTCTTGTACGCTGGGTCGCTATGAGTCACAAGTGACTCGATGGCACATAACAACAACAACAGTTTGAAAAGTACTCAAAACATACCATGGCCACAATGAACATGCATATTGTGGAGTTTATCTTTCAATAATATGGTTTCCCCAGCTAGCTGAAAGTGGATGCCTAACCATGTGGATAGACAATACTATGCAAATGTGGAATGTT